CTTCATTTCGTTGACAACAACTCTATTTCTTCAGATCAAACTTTTATACGGAGATTATATACTCGCTGTAAAGCGCCTTATTGCAAGAATGCAGCCTAATCTTGAGGAAAATAAAGTTTTTATTCACGAGTTTAGCAGAACTGCACCAGTTAATGTATTGTTGGACCATTTTTTTTTTAATGAATGAGTGGCCAACATGGCGGACATTCCGAGGAAAAGTTCTTAGGAAATGTAGAATGTTTTTTCTGGTGGTTATTTCAAGCTTAAAAGCTCGATATGTTTGTTTCTTTTGAAAATATACAAAAAGAAAACAACAAACAAACAAACAAACCCGGCTTGTCTTTTTTTTTTCTTCTTTTTCTTTTTTTCTGCAGGTACAAAGAGACAACAGATGTTTTCAATGAGATCACAAGTGCAAAAAAATATTCAAAGTTTTTAAGACCTTTTCACAAAGGTAATAGACAAAAGAAGTGTACAGTTACTTTTAAATGCACGCAATCCAAAGCTAAGGGACCAGCCAAGACAAGGTCCAAATATGGTGCTTTGAGCGTTAAAAAGGGTGTTTATGGTGTTGAGCAAACTAATTTACATTCCCATGCGGGGATTTCTACGTTAATGTATATATCTTCATCAGAAAAGGAAAGAAAAATTGAGGACAACTAGAAATCAATTAAAAAGAGATGTCTGTAACAAATATTCCTTAATTGATTTCTTGAACGTTTTAATATTCATGATGTTTTCAGTGATTTATCGGAAGAGTTCGAAATCTTAGTTGCTCTGTACGAAAACATTAATTAAAGTTCTTTGACCGCATACAGTCTACTACTGTTGCTTTAATGTTATTGTCTTGAACTGTGGGTTAGTTTCAATCTTATGTATGAAGTCATTTGGTGATTGTAACCACACAACCCCCATCCAAACACCAAAAAACAACCCACAAAACTGATAATGCTATTTAACAATTGTTCCTCGAGCCCGAATGGGCTCTGAGTCAACAGCCCATGAGGCCAAGGACCGAATGGGCTATTGACTCAGAGGCCATGAGGGCAAGAGGAATAATTGTTTTAGTAAAATCCAACTAGCTGGTCAAAAATATCGAGAATAAAAAAATTTTAGCTACTTAAAGCTAGACTTTAATCCCTTTTTGCCGCCAAAAAGCCCGCGCTTTTCGCTACTAGTGGGCTATAACATATAGCCTAGTAGTAGCTCAACAAATCAGAACACAGCATTGATACTAGACCACTAGTTGGATTTTACTAATTAGTGGTAGCTTACAAGATGGGAAAGCACATTACTCTATAAATTAGATCGAGAGGTCCGTTTTCGTTGACGCAGCTTCACTGCCAATTGTTTCTGATATTAATGTAACAGAGAATGTCCTTGCTTAATTTTTAGGCAGTCCCCTCAAGGTCGCAATTGGTATCAAGGTTATTCACTTTGTAGCAGTAAGGGAAGTAGAAGAGGTCAGTGAATGCTCACAAGTCTGATATAATATTAATATTACTTAAATATAATAATTTACATAGAAATTTATTGTTCGCTTATATTATAGACCCATATAAGTATACCGGATTTAGTATACGTGAATACACACAGGTAGCACAACCAAAATTAAATATGTTCAAAAATTCCAGATAAACTTACTGTTACCTCTCCATGCCCCTCTTGTTTGTTGTTGTTTTTGTTTTGTTTTTTCCTTTGGTTCATTTTTGTTCTGTTTTTTTTTTTTTTTTTTTTATTTATTACCTTAGCAATTTTCACTGGATATGATAACTTGGCAAACATGGAATGACCCACGACTACACCATTCTTTGGATGACCCCATCACTCTTCCTGGAGAATCAAAGAAATTCATATGGTTACCGGATACATTTTTCGTCAATGTTAGAACTGCCACTATCCATGACGTAATTGCTGAAAACAGTAAAGTTTCCATTACACCTGGAGGTGTTGTTACTTACAGTACCAGGTAAGGTGGTTTGATGAGGTCTTGATGAAGTAATAAAAAGTTGCAGTTACGCGCTTGTAAGTCGAAACCCAAAAACAGAGACTGTAAGGATCCAGATTGAATTGAAGGTATTTTAATTTGACATGAGCTACAAATACACATTCATTTGAATCGAATTTGAAGGCAGGAATATGCCAAATTCAAGCAGACAATCAAACATAAAACCTTTCGGTAATACATCTTTCATTTTAGTAAATGGAATATTTTTTTTTTCGGCAACAATATAGATTGTCACACTTTCACGCTATAAAATGATGTTATTAAATATTGTCCACCCAAGAAATAAATAAATAAAAATAAATATAATAATAATACAATATAAGATAAAAAACAAGGCAAATTATCTACAAAAAATAGAACTGTTTACCGATCTAATTTTTTGCATGCCGGAGTGTTAGCAAATTATCAATTTATTAAAGCCATCATTGCCATACAATATTATTTGGCTCATTAAAAATACTGTTCCTAATAGCAGTTTTAAAAATGCCACTGAATGGTGTTAAATATTGGTCCAGACGTCAATGCATTGTCTTTCCTGATGGGTCTTTAGTCAGGGGTATTAAACCTTTCAGTAGAGAAGGTAACAATATGCTCTCATTGCGTCATATTCCCTTGCTAAAAGAGTTTTAACACCAAACAGAAATTCTAATCTTAAAACCAAAACTGTTCATACAATAAACTGACTTTTCATTCTGATTATTGCATAGTGGGGTTATAGTTGCAAATTCAATCATTGCTTCCGCAGTGCCATTTAAGATTTTTTCTGGTATTTTGGTGTTATTGATAATAATTCATTGCCGACTTACTGAATCAGCTTCATAATCATTACAAATGTACAGTTCTATTCTGTCTAGTATATTCATATCTGATTTTTAGGCTTACTATAACTGCAGGATGTTCAATGGATTTGGCTGATTATCCACTAGATGCACAATACTGTGACCTGGAATTGTCTACCTGTTAAGTATTGTAACCACGTAGATTAACTTCAATGTTAACCGCGGTAGGATTAGCTCAGTCGGTAGAGCGTTTGACTGCAGAGCGGAAGGTCACGGGTTCGATGGCCGGACCAATACTAAGGGTTTTAAAATAACTGAGAAATGAAGCTACTGCCTTTGCACTGTAAGCGGCTAGGACTTTGGAGACGTAAAAATAGTGTCCCCAATTAGTACTCTTTTTTTAGCGCCGGGAGAAACCGTATATGCCCCGTCGCAAAGCAGTTTCACTGTATGATCTCTTGCGGGGCAAAAAAGACTGTACACACTGTGAAAAGTACAGGGGGGATATCAATCTCTTTTTCCCTGTTTAGGGGAGGGAACACATGTAAATTACTCTAAGATTAGTCCTTCGCTATCCGATGTCAAAGTGTAGACAGCAAAAAAGGCAAGCGCGCTTGAATTTGAGGGCACCAAAGAGAAAGGTGGCACGAGGGTGGAAAAACAAAATCAAGAATAAATATAAAAATCAGGAAATTTTCTCTCTTCCCCCAAGGCTGTCACAATTCTATCGGGTGGAGATTTTAGCGCGCACTAGCGTATTCCACATCCCTTTACTCATCCCTGAAGAAGAGGAGGGACTACTGTCTAGTGGTATATCCTATTTTATCCCCTGTCACCTTGTGGATTTTACCGTGGCGAACAACTTAAATTTGGACAACAAGCAATTCAAAATTACGACATATGCATGAAAATAAAAGTAAGCTCCGACACCGCCCTGCAGGGAAATGAAGAGACGTACTGAAACTTGCTGTCCGGAAAGGCTGCTTACGCCTGAAATATACAGTATGTGGTCCTTGGTCCGCGTCTAAAAGTCATTAACTTGAATATCTGGAATATCTTACCCGAATCTTCACGTAACGAGCTAAAATATTCCCTGAAGATAGCTTTTATGTTCTTCTCGATAATCCTGAAGTTTCAAGTTCCAGACATAAATATTTTGCTTGGGGTTCGACAAAAGGCGACCGTTTTCGATGGCCCTTGGTCCGCGAATGTGGTGGTAAGCAGCACGAAAAAAACGTAAAAATGTTATAGTTTCCTCACGAAAACGTGATTTTCACAATATTTCATGTACTTGTTTCTTTTCTTGATGCAATTAAGCTAAAGTTTTTTTCGGAAGATGTTGTGAGTATAAAATAATCTGCTCTTCTTTCAAAGACTTCCGTCTCCTCGAGTCTCCCACACGAGCGTCTGCGAGCGGTTTTCAGCGCGGTCGAAAATAATTACTAAAAATTCCGTATGTATTCGAGATATTAAAAAAATAGAACTTGTACACATATATAGGGACGATTTTTAAAACATTCTTCGAAAACAAAGGCCGTCGCTTTTTATTTTGCGAAGTTTTATTCAACGAAAGTCATAGGTCGCGGACCAAGGACTGCTAAGCGAAATTTTGTGATATTTTTCAAGAGTCGATAAAACAAAAAATTCAGAGTCTACAGCAATATGCTTCCAACAGCAGAAATAAGTTGATCTGAAAACCTGTTCTGCAAAAAGGCACGTCTTCCCGTTGCGTTTTATTTATTCGCAGGCTAAGTAAACTTGACCATGTAATTTACGGTGCCGCAATAATCCAAACTTCAAGAAAGACAAATTAACCTACCTGTCAACAAACTTTAATTTCGCGCCTTCACCCACAGCAAGAAAGCCGAAACTTCGTCGTATAAAAGAATACTAATCAGTAAATCACGATAACTTTCATTATTCAACATATTTTTTTTCTCGACGAAATATTTTATCATTTTCGGAAAAGTCGCGGACCAAGGGCATCGCGGACTTGCGAGGACCAAGGACCACATACTGTACAGAATGTTGCAGTATACTACCTTTTGTTGTTTTTTTTTTGTTGATTGCGGGAGACCAAAGGAGTCCGCAGTACTAATCACAAATGCGAGCCACATACGTATGCAACCAGCATTTGTTTGAACTTCCTTTAAAAATGAATGGAATGCATAGAACGCAATCTGATGAAGCACGTTTGGACCTTCTATCACTTGAAACTTACGCATAGCACAGCTTTGCTCAGGGTAAGAGCGTTTGCATCTATCTTGCCCTTGGACCATAATTTTGTTTATTACTAGTTTTAATTTACGCAGTTATTTATATTTCTATTATTATATATTATTATTATTATTATTATTATTACTATTATTATTATCGTTATTATTACTATTATTATTATTATTATTATTGTCATTATTATTATTATTATTATTATTATTATTATTTTCAGATGCATATACAACCAACCAATTAGTTTACACATGGATTAACGGAAGCGAGACAGAAAAGATAAGAGTATCAGATAAACAACTTTCAGAGTTTACCTTCCTTCAAACACAATCCCTTTATGATTTTGAAACCTATGCAGATGGTTAGTAGTGAATACTGAAAAAAGCATCAGTATATAAACTATTTCAGGGGTTTTGATTTAGTGTTAACCAATCAGAACCAAGATCAGACCACGCACAAGCAGACCACAAAATCACGAACTACATGTAACAAGAAAAACAACTAAAACTAAGTGCTAAAATTTTAACCCGCAGTTAGCAAGGGCAACTTTAAGGGGGGGCTGCCAAATAAGAACTACAGTTGCTTATAATTCAGTTTTAGTCACTCTACTAGAACTAGTAGAGACATAAACTATTAGAAATTCCAGCTTAATTACTAAAAGGAATGTAAGAACAGTAAAAAAAAAAACGAAAACAAGCATAAATAATAACATTAAAACAGCAAACTAATGGCTTCACTTGAATTGCCTCTTTCTATGCAGGTTACGTTGGTATACTACTTACTAAAGCCAGTTTGCTAATTGATTGTTCAAGTTCCGCCTTAATTAGTTTAGGTGTGAAAGGAGTTCAACCTATCGAACCCATCCCGCCCCTAGATCTTATGGATTCCATACCTTCATTTATTACTACTAATTGGACGGTATCTTCATTGAATGATAGCTCTTGATAAATCTTCTCATAAAATTACCTGAGAGGAGAACAAATTTCGTTTTCAGCGCCTTGTTTTATTTTCGTTGCATGCACAGGCGGGAGTTAACTGAGTCACAGATAGCAGCGAGGGTCGATGGCAGTAAAAGGACACCCCAACAAAAAAAATGGTGATAATTATAATAACAATGATGATCTTATTATTCATCATTATCATTATTATTCATTCGTAATTTTTTCGCCTTTTCTGATTGGCTCCAATCCCCCCCCCCACTCCCTCTCCGTCACTGCTAATTCTTCATAACCAACTCAGGCACTTGCCATATTTGAAAGATGCGAGCAATATTCGATTCGAGGGTATAAATTATGATATACCATCGATCAACCTCGTTTCCAGACGCGGCAGCCTACCTGTTTATTCCGGAGTAACTAAGAGTGAACTGAAAAAAGAAAATGGCGTTTACAGCTATTCGAAGAGGAAATAGCTGAATTTCTAACCAACTGAACGAAAGAAATGCAAGAATACGCAAGATATATCGCTCAAAGAATGTTATCAGCTTTTTGTGGAGATTCGGCAAAGAAAAACATCTGTTAAGTTCATATTCTGAAACCGTGCCGGAAATACTCCAGTTAAAGAAGTTCTAGGAGAAGGTAGCTTGTTAAGAACTTAGAAATATTTTGAATAAATAATAAAACAATTACTGAATAAGGCTGAGTAGGATGTGAAGAATTATGCAGATGGAGGAGGATGTTATCATTATCATTAATTAGTTTACGCATGAGGACGACGAAAGAAGAGGACGGCAAATCGCTTGTTCGTTACAAAAGTGAGGGGCCTAATACTTATGTGCTTTGCGGTGACCTTCACCTGAGTTAACGTTTTCTGGTCTTTTAAAAAAAGACCTGTTTAAAAGAAGGTGAAGTTCGGTGGAAAAGTTTTTCTAACAAAATTATTGTGACGCTTGTCACACAATGTTTGCTGTCTTCTTTCCTCTCCCGTCCTGTTGCGTAAGCTCACTGTTTTTAAGGGACGGTAAGCTACTATTAAGCCGCCACCCTGGACCAGGCAAGGAACCCATAAAGGGTTATGGTAATGAGCAGCTGGACCTGGCTCAGTTTACTCCAGACCTGTTATCAGCGAAGAATCGAAACAACCTTTAGTTCTAACCAAATCGTTTTAATCTGTAGGTAACCATTCTACACTGATTGCTCGCTTCTGGTTCAAGCGACGCATCGGTTATGCTTTTCTTCAAATCTACTTTCCCACCATGATGCTTGTAGTACTGTCTTGGCTGGTATTCTGGATTCCACAGGATGCTGTTCCTGCGAGGATAGCTCTCGGAAGCACTACTGTGTTATCAGTTGTGACGTTCACAGGGTCATTTAGAAGCACTTTTCCAAAGGTATGCTGGTCAATATCCTTAGAGAGTTTAAGTAAAATTGTACTGTTTGTGTATATATATATTGCTAAAAAAAAACGCAGATAGCTGAAGGCATCTTTTACAGCCCTGGATGAGGTGTCCGCACTGGACGCTTCAGCTGTAGATGAATAAAGAATGGATTGAAAAAATCAGATATACAATCTAACTCCTCTCAGATTTCAAGTTGCGCATTACATAATTAAGTGGAAAATATTTACAGGATAATTTACGGAACGTGCCCGCGTTGTCACGTACCCAGATCTATTCTCGACGAGTCGGAAAGAGATCTGGGTACGAGATTAGTTCGCGCCTAGGGTATTTTATAAAAGAGTGGGAAAATTAGACGTGAAACTCACGCAGTGAGATATGAACTTCTCACTGTATTTTTGGTTCAGCTGCATTCAGTCTACATCATCCCTCTCTCTGTTTGTATTTTTGTGTGGAAAGGTTTCCTACATTAAAGCTGTGGATGTCTACTTCATTGTTTCCTTCGTGTTTGTCTTCTCTGCATTAATGGAATACATCTTAGTATTACTTGACACTGGTGGAGTAAAACAGCAAAGAGTACTGCATGACAGAAATAATGTGGAAAATTGTCACCATGATGTGTCTTTTATAGAAGTAAAATTTGTTTGTTGTGTAATAATCATTAAGAGGTGCACGTCTTTGCCCTTCTATGTATCATTTCTGTGTCAACGTGAGATTTTCATTTCTTACCATACCATTTCCAAGAAGATACTATGAATCTTTAAAAATTGACGGGAGAAAAAACATGTTTATCGCCGCTAAGGCTTAAAAGGTGTACTTTGATCTTATGATTCCTCTTCACTAAATTCTCCCGTTGTTCATTAATAATTGACAGGAGAAAATATCCTTTACACTGCGCAGTGCTGGGGCTTGAGAAAACATAAACTGTTTACAGGTAGCTAGCTATAGCCATTACGACACCTATAGGAAGATCATGAGGTTATCCAAATGTTAAGACCTATCCGTAAGCCCCCCCGTACAAACGGATGCAACATTGTTACTCCCTGAACATTGTTGGATGTTACATGTTTTGTCCGTTTGCACACCCTGTTGCATGTTTTTGCGTGTTGTTGGGAGTTGCTGTGCGAAGTTTGAAACCAGCCAATTTTTAGCTACAATCATGCCAAACGGACAGAAGAACTTCCAACGTTATTGGCCACTCCCATACTCTTTTCGAAAAGTAGTGTGGGTTATTTTACGTCCCTGGATAAGCACCAGAAAAATGAAAGCCCTCTGAGACTGGAACTAAGGTTTTTCGTCCTTATCCGAGAAGACTAGAAAGTCTAACCGTTTGCAGATGTCATTACAAAGGCAGCACCAGCAGGGGTTTAAAACTGACGAGCTCCATCCAGCCCAGTAGACCGGCGCTCTACCAACTGAGCAAACCTTGCGGCGTAAAAGGTTGGTTTTGATCTTTTTTTATCTTTTTCAAATGACAGGACAAACATCATGTTGAAGTTTCGGAGTTACATGATGTCAAGGTAGAGCGCCCAGTTAAGCACCCAGTTGCTAGAAGCCAGGGAAAATCAATGAAAGTTCTCAAAGGCAAAGGAAAGAAAGCTAAAGAATACGCGCGTTGTGCCTTCGTTCGGAATGAAGCCAGCAGCTTTGACAGAGTATCGCGTTACCTTTTCCCATGTTCTTATTGTATCTTTAATTTGATTTATTGGTGTTACTATGAACTTGCTTCATTCGGAAAGGAAGTCCCCACCAGATGATCAAACCTACCTACATTAGCTGTGGATTTTAAACTACAGTGGAGGTCAAAAGTGTTGGGACCTTCCCTGTGATATAAATAAAACAGTCGACCTTCCCCCTTCCACCACTAACAATGTTGAATTTTGAGCATAATGGGTGAAAATGAGTCCGTTTGGGGTCACAGCATTGTAGGGAGGAGAGGAAGGATGAAGGAATGAATCCGATAGCCGATCCAAAAATTGTCATTAGGATAAAGTGTAACAATTACTGGAAGGGTTTTTCATTACGTCCCAAGATCTTTTGACCTCCATTGAAGATGGACGTGGCCAGGTCGACGGTCAACGTCCAAAAGGGCAAGTAATTGCAAATAGGCTCCCTGAGCTAGAGAGAAATAAACTCGAACTTGCTCAATGAGGTTTCAAAATAATATTTTGAAAGCATAATTCCGAGGCTATTTTTAGAGAACGCATCGTCGATTTTTCTACCGCTTTCTTTGTTGTTTCTCTTAGCAAGACGAAGTATTTCTACGTCATATGAAACGACATAAGGTCCCCTATGCTATGAAGTTTTTAGTGCAAACTAAAAAAAGACAAATAAAAAAATGTTATATAGCAAAAAACATAATATAATTATGCCGCAATTTGTGCTACTTTTGTTTAATTTGTCTTAAAGAAGCTTAGTTTGTAAATTTTCACTCGTCTTAGATGATGGTCATTAGTTTTGAATGGGGTCAAATATTCCAAGCTACATGCACCATAATATTATCATAATACCGCAATCATCTTTCAGAACGCATGACAAAAAGAAAAAAACGTTGCATGATATTATAACACAGCAAAAGCCCAGAAGGAAGAGTTTGCCTGTAAGTACTGAGTTGTCTTTCGAATTAGAAATGTTGTAAATAAAAGGAAATAAAATAAAGCACGTATGTGATCATCCCTTCCTGTATTTCAGTTCTTCGGTACAAGGCGTCGACCCTTACAGCTGGTTTATTGACGGTTTGCGTTCGTTCCACTGAGCAGAAACTTTATTTTGGTAATAAAATGATTTATAACATGGATCTGAAATTTGGTGTTAAACATCAACCAATCTAGATACCTAGCATTAAAGATACAGTCTAATTAAGAGTCGAAATCAATGGTATGCAGCAACATGCAATACACTATGCAATCAATGTTTTACCATTCTAGCATTCTTGGTATTCAAGAATCAATCAAGTGAGTGTGATGATAAATTATGTCGATCGCCAAATGTGACAATGAATAAGTGATGAAACGTTTGAGCACTGATAGGTTCCACCGGCTTAATTCTTTGTAAAAGCATCAAGGAATTGAGGGGTAGACTAACAGGTTGCATCATGCAGCAGAAGAAAGTCAACTTGACTATTGTGTTAAGCTGAAAAGGTTTTATAAGCTAACTTAACAAGAACATATTTTTCTATGAAGGATTTGTTAATATACATCCTAATTAAACAATAAACTTTAGCCTGAGGCGGGTAGCGTGTGGTCGGTTAACCGAAAAGGCAAATTATGCTCTATCGATTTTGTGAATTGGAAGGGCCACATAACTGACTTGGATTATGATCATTTATGATGGAATCATACGAAACTCGAAATCCAGGGGTATATTTAGTTGCAAGATTGAACATTAATGGAACCAAACTTGCCGCAAATTCCCATTAATTACTCTTTTTTTAAGTAGTGCTATTTCACCCAGTTGAAATTCTTGTGTCATAATATCTAGAACATCTCTAAGCAAGCATATTAAATTAGCCTCAAGTTTTAAAATAAAACAAGCATTTGATGTGTAAATTCCTTACTAAGTAAAATTGCTGACAATGAAACGATAATGATTGAAACTTTAATTAATTTCAGCGGAAATGTCTTTGTATGCCACTAAAAACGTCAATTTGTAACCTTTCAAATACCAATGATGCAGAGAGAATTTCCATTTTAACGGTACGGTAGCTTATTGGCAAACTGTCCGGAGCAGTGTGGTAATGTTCAGATGCCAAACAGATTTAACGCTTGCAGATTCCTTAAAACATCTTCAAGCTTTTAAACTAAACGTTGCAAGGTAAGAACGGTAATCTCAGTTACTTTTAAACCCGAAGCAAACGAACGCAACCTTGTTGGATGTTACATGTTGCGTCCGTTGTTGCATGTTGTTGCGTGTTGTTGAGAGTTGGTGCACCGTTTGCATAATACAGCAGCAGGATCGCAACAATGTTGGCACAACAATATTGGGAGTTGTTGCGTCCGTTTGCAAGTAGTTTTAAAGTTGGTGCTACTAGGAAAATCATTAAAATATGGTAATAGCTTGCGTGCACATTAATCGGATTCTCTTTGGACAATACATTTGTTTTTTTAGTCAACGTTGCTTCCTTTGAGTTACAACTTCCTTAATAAACTGTTTTATGAATTTCGGTTTAAATGGTCTGCACTAAATTAAAGGCCCATGAAGATACAATGTAACTGGCGTACTTTGCTTCAGTAGTCTGCTTTTTTCCTGTTAGACTTGGCTCAACTTTTATGCAGTAAGTAAATATACCACAAAATGTCTGACGCATACACTTTTATTTCCGCGCCACAGTTTAAAAACCTACAGTTTAAAAACTGATTACTCAGTTCTTGATTTGAGTAATAAGTAGTAAATTGCGCGGCTCATTAGAATCTAATTATCGTGGATTTTAAGGGCTTGAAGAAATATCTTGTTTTTCGAAGCTTTCCTCCAATTCAACCTGACTGTTCTATTTGTTATTACGAACCTTCCCATTTTTATCGCAATTTCTCCTTTTACCCAGGTGATCAGAGAATTCTCTGGTTACCGTCGAAGTTCAAACAGATAACTTTCACCTTTATCTCTCGGCTCCTGTTATCACTTAATCTGAAAATTATATACATAATTTTTGTTGTGATAATAACGCCCCTGGAATGTTTGATGATCTGTCACTATGCAATTTCTCGGGGGAGGGGGAGGGGGGGTTACTCGTCGAGTAATATTTGGTTGAAACTGAGCCGCTGAGGGTTTGAAAACCTGACCCTGTTTAGGACAATAAAAAAAACCCTAAAATTCATACCCTGTTCAGGGCTGCAACACCTTTAAATATATTAACATCCCAGTACAGGCAATATAAGGGAGTACACTCTCCCCCCTCCCCATCGGCGCACTTTCCTCCCGTTATGTCATCAATGAATCTTACCAAAAAAAAAAAGAAAACTTTTTAATAAGTAGTATGCGCGACTTAATTCTCAGATGTAAATTGTTTCAATGGGACGCGACTCACGTCAACGAAATTGCGACCCATGATATGTAAACTATGATAACACAACAAACTGCAATGGGCACGTGAGGAGAATTTGTAAATTTTAGATAAAAGATGACGGCCCCCTGCGATTGTAGACTAAATAGAACAATGATTTTGCTCCTTAGTCCTTCGAGGTCCGGGGTGAAAGTTGCGTTAATTGGCTACTCTGCATGTCGTAATTTAAAGTTAAGTATGTTATGATGTAAATAAATATTTTTTACTTTGTCCAATAGATTCTAATCAAGTTAAACCTGTCCTTGTATATCTCCAAGAACCTTTTAAAAGGAGTTGCAGCTATTTTAGCTATTCAAAAGTTTTGAAAAAATATAAATTTCTAAAATTCAAATTAACCTAATTATTATTCAAATTATCAAATTTGACAGATCCGCAATTTATCGTGTAGAACCGGATACTAAACAGTGACTAAAAGAGGTATAAGGTCTATACTGACTATGAACATGGAGTTACAAGTAAACTAAGACCTCCTTTTTTTGAATTAAATCCATCACTCAAATAATTTTACCATATCGTTACCTTTCTTTCATACATATCACACGGGACTATTGCGGTGCCAAAGGTACTTTGCGCGCTGCAATCACGTGCTCAAACCAAAGCGTCCTATTATTGTCAGGCAAGAATTTGACATTTTAGTGGCCGTGTAGTGAGCCGTTCGCAGGCTGACTGAGTGTATTGAAAAAGTTATGTTACATTGCTTTATATCACGCTATAAACATCTCAGCGCACTGACGCGCACTATGGATCATCAACGACTGGGATCTGCAACTTGAGTCAGCCCTTGAGGTCAGGCAGCTACAGCGGCTTAATTGATGCATATGAGTTTGCAACCATCAAATGTAAGTAGGACAACATTGATTCTTCTTTCCTTTACGATCATGTGTCACTGAAATGTTTTAGCCTTCACCTTATCTGAACGAAATTTGGGTCTTACGTCTTACAGGTCTCGCCCCCTGTGAGTGAGTGTGTCACGTTGCGAGTCACGTCATTTTCTTTCGTACCGTGTCTTGTAGTTATAAACGAGCGTAGAAATAGCGAAAGTTCAAATTAAACTTTGCAAGCTTCATAATTGTATTACTTGAATCAAACTGTGTTAATTCTTGTGATTTTTTTCCTGTAGTAATTTTGGGAATTCCTTAGCATTCTTCTGAAATTGTTATTTTTGTAATATCTTCCCTAAGAAATGTTACTGTTCTCGGGAATTGCCGAGAATTCCCAGCATCATAAAGAACTCATTACTAGGAATAGTTGACACTACAGCTGTCGCCGCTCGGTCAATAGCATTCTTGGTCGTTGTGTAACTCTGTGAAATATACCGGTTGATAATGAAGATTTTCACACATATTCCATACGATAGGTGAGATAAAAAAAAAAAAAACGAGAAACGCAAGGTTCCATGCACAGTTTCAGTTCGATTTACACAGCTTTGATCAAAACAGTCTCAGTTTCGAGAATAGTTTATTCTAAACCATGAGAAAATATTTAATTTAGAAGTTGAATTTTTCGCTATTTCTCCTTCACTTTTTACATACAGCTCATTTTATTTGCCGGAAAGTAAGCGTTAGAAATTAAAAGGACGTTTGATCAATTCACGCTCGCGCATTCTGGTCTTATTTCAAACTTTATAGCGGAAGGACATCTGTGAGCAGGGAATAAGTCAGCACAGAATTTGATTGTCAGCGAATCTCTGTCGAAACGTCCATCGTTCTGCTAAGGATAAGCTAGCAGTTGATTCACTCGTCTTGCTTGTTTGTTGCTGAGCTCCGGTCGAAGAGAGAGAAAGAGTGTCTTTCCAATCAAAGATTCGTGAACTCATGTCTCGCAAACTCTCCAAGTGTCTGTATATACACAGTTATACGCACCTTATAACTTCATCTGCGCTTGACGAGTGTCTTTTGGTCCATAACTTTCAAAACAACTGCTCCGCATAATGTCACTGATAACACGTAACGCAAAGGAGTATCGAAGTATCACTATACAATAAATGTCACAAAATCTACCTAAGCGGTCCCTTCGGGATTTTCTGTCTTTACGTCATCCTAACCATTTCGTACTTGCGGGCGCAAAAAATAGAAACGTCATCATTACCTACCGATTTCTCGCGGCCCCTGTTCAAGCAAATCGAAATTTTTCTGGCATACTGACTGTATATTTCAGCTGTAAGTGTTTTCTTTAATATACGCGCGAGTTACTGGAGTGCCTTCTGGGCGAAATCACTGCGGTGGCAATAACTTCATTCTCAAGAATAGTCCAGTTTCGAATTAAAAATTACCGCTGAATATACACCTATTTTAATTAAGGTTGCTCCCGTGAACCATGTTTCATAGCCTGCAGTGCACTATGGTAAACCCTTTTGTAGCAGAAAGTTTAGTCTTGTTCACAGTCATTGAAATAATAGAGACCATTTGTGAAAAGGCGTTCAAGAGAGCTTTAAAGTCAAATGGCTGCTAATATTCTTAAGCATAAGGGAGCTGAAAAATTTCATTTTAAAATCTCATAGTGAAAAATTGGAAGCCTCTTCTTTTAACAACATTAAGTGAGTAGGGTTTCACCGCCTGATTAAGCTGCGTTTTTTCATGGGCCAGAATGC